ATTCTGATTGGGCTGGCGATGTAGATGACAGGCGTAGTATTTCAGGTTACGGTTTCAGATTGAGTGAGAACAGTGGTTTGGTTTCTTGGAGGAGTAAAAAGCAGTCCACAGTTGCTTTGTCAACTTGTGAGGCTGAGTATATGGCATTGACGGAGGCTATTCAGGAAGCAAAATTTCTGAAACAATTGTGTGTTGATTTGCGTATTTGTAAGAGTGGTGAACGTGTAGTGTTGAACGTTGACAATCAGGGTGCAATTAACTTAGCTAAGAACCCAATGTACCACAAAAGATCAAAACACATAGATATTAAATATCACTTCATAAGGAGTGAAATAAGGGCTGGTAATGTAGAGATTGTATATGTAGCGACACATGAAAATGTGGCTGATATATTTACGAAAGCTGTAAGTAAGATTAAATTAAGTAGATTCAAAACATTTATAACTGGTAAATAGATATTAATTTGTAATTTAGTTGATGAGCTAGTGGGGGTGTTGAGTCATGCTCATAAACCACAAATACATGTTAAGGAAATAGAATGTGCGTAGTTTAGTTTATTAATGTATCCGTTCCCACACGGTTAAGAGCCAAGGAACAGTTATTGACCTTAGTTAAATTTCCTTATATACCATATATAGCGTAAACAGAGGAACTACTCCTGCCAATAATATTATTTGTTGTTTGTAATAAATAGTATAAATACTGCTTTGTAAAATAATAAAAATCAGTTCGATCATTAAGTTCACTCGGGGTTGTTACTCAAGATATAGAGTATACGAAGAAAGTGATATGGCGAGTAACACGAACTCAACAGTTTAATCAGACATTTCAGAGGACGACAAATCAGTAGAATCACTGGAATGAGCAAGAAAAATCTCATACTGGCATCAAGTTCACTGTCACTGTTGTTGACCATCACATCAATGTCCTCACTGCTGCTTATGTCACCATTAATGATGTGACCCAAATCATCATCTATATGACTATTGATTGTATTATTTTCATCATATGAATCAAGTAATCTGTTATCATTCTCACTATTACTATTCTGTCTTGATATGTCACCCAGGTCTCTTAGTACAGTGTCGTCGTCATCAACAATTAAGTCAGCCAAATCATCAACTTCATCTTCACTCTGCTAAATGATATGGTGATATCATTTTTAACTAGAGATTGGTTGCAGAGTACAAAGTAATAAACTTACCGATTCATCATCATCGTCATCGCCATCATCATCATTGTCATCATCATTAACACCATCATCATTAACACCATCATCATCATCATCATCATCATCATCATCATCATCATCATCATCATCAGAGTAATTCTATGAAAACCAAAACATCACAAGAAAACGTATGATTAAGATTAGTGGGCATAATTGTGCAAAAATTGTCCGTGTCGTGCATGAAAACCTAGTAAAATCTTTGCACAAATTTTCCTTTTTTTAATGATAAATATAGACTTTTCTTTCTAATAAAACGTATTGACAAAAAGTGACCTTGATCAATCGTTTGTATTTTATTTAATAGTAAAAATTCTTACCAGAACACTAGACCCAACAAGTCACGAAAACAAATTCAGAAATTAAAAGTACAAAAGTAATGTTCTATAATTTCTTTTAATCGTTGTATTTACATTGCTTTACCATTACCTTAGAATTGCAAGTCCGGTTTAAAATAAAGCGTATTCACTACCAAGTAAGACATTTGAATTTTACGAATCATTTCAGTATAAGAAATAATTGAAAATCTGCATTCTGCGGTATATATATATTTAGGCTATCTTCTACCTTAGGCTATCCTGCTCATCTGTCATTGATTATCATTAAAGATTAATGAATATTGTCTACTGATGAGCATAATTGAGATGTTTGCTCGCTGAAAACTACCATTAGACGAAGCAAGGACAGCAGTATACATTGTGCAGTGACTCACATATTAAAATTTAGTTACATTTTCTTCACTAAATTGTTTTAAATTGCAGTTTGCTGTCTTCCTAGAAATTTTTTAATTAAAAAATTTCTATTACCGCCTAAGCTTGCTGAAACAAAGCCACTCAATGTTAGCTTGTCTTTGGGGTAGGTAAAATCTCACATCTACAGTAGACACGAAAATAAAGAAGCAAAATAATAATGATCACGAAATTATTTTATTCGTAAACATCCCTTACACTAGTGCATATGAAATCATTCAATCGTAAAGAAATAATTTAAAGAGTTTGCCATCACACTCCTTGACATTGCTTGATTTTTCTATCTAATTTCTACACTTAATTTCTATGTAAATAAAAGTTTAAATGGTTTAACCATGATAATTAAAATAATAAAAGTAAAAGTACGATTAAAACTATTCTATTCAAAATGCTGTGTTAAAGTCAGTGTGTAATGTTGTTGCCTTATAAAGGCAAGTAAAATACATTCACAAACTGTAGCATAGATGCCAAGATTCAAGTTTGTTCATGGCAAAAGATTACGTACACAGACACAATCATAAAGTGTTCGGTTTAATACTGTTTAGAGATCAAATCTAGATTATATAACGAAGAACAAAATAAAACTTTATAAATGTAGTAACAGTCTTTACGTACTCTAGTTTTATTAACGACGATCGCCAGTTCTAAAGGAAATTTATAATAAGATTAAACTACCGTAATAAGAGAAAGAAAAACATGTGTTCGGAATTTTTTAAAAAAATATTCAACAAATGAATCTATTTTTACTTTTTCTTCAACCATCAACTAATGACGTCGAGCTTTTGTGGATCATTTTCAAAAGATAAAACTTACTATTCCTTCTTTTCATCTCCTTTTTTTGTCATCGCATTTCTTGTCGTCTTTTTCCTCGACAGGTGCCAGTTTACTCTTCATATGAGTAATGGCATATGCAATTGGTGCAGGACGATTTTTGTCTGACTCATCAGAGGAGTATAACTAAATAAAAACATACGTATATACTGTCATTGTATATGTATATTTTATCAGCTTCAAAATTTGTAATCTAGACATAATTCTTGTTCAAAATTGAAAGTTTCGCCGGATTGTAAATAGCTAATACCTTCATAAATTCTGAAGAAGGCAGGAAGCATCGAGTCGAAAGCTCAATATAATTATATATAAAAATCCGGAGAAACTTTCAATGTTTAACGATATATTTTATCATATATACATAAGATGTTAAAATATACATAGGTCTTTTATACATCGTAAATGACCTAATAAACACAGGACGTTAAATAAATGAAAAAGCAGCCTAGAAAGGGGAGGGGGGCCTTCAATTGACACAATGAGTTAAATAGAAAGACGTTTACATCATTCTCTATCACCATATTGTGAGAAAATAAAAACAAAGTCAAGACTAAATATACGGTTTCTTAGCCCAATCGATAACCCACTGTTAACAATGGCAACGTGTGGGGTGCGACTATTGGAGTCAAAGCGTTTATTAGAGAGAATCGTCTCATATAAAATCAAGTTTCAATGAAGCAATTCGTGCGTATTGTTTTCAACTGCGTTTACAGGTATTTGGGGATCATGTATTGCTGAATTGTATAAATTCCAAATGTCGCGGGTGTTTTCAAATATGAGCAGTTTTTTTTAACACCCCGCATAATCTCCATGATGCATTCAAAATCATCACCACAATCCAACAAAAACAAAATAAATGCACAAATCCTATTTGTAAATAACAAATGACAAATATCCACAACAAACCGGATTTCCTTCTCTATTTTTTCTATTGATCGAGGCATATACATGTGGTGGTGCTTTACTTGTTGGTGGTTTACTTTCATCACTTGTTATTTACTGTTTCATATTGATTACCAACAGATTCATAAGCATTTTCTCTCAGTTCTCCAGCCACTTCATAATGATTAGGTTGGGCATTATTAGCTCCAGCTAAAGGTTCAACACCATTTTCACCACTGCAACATTAACAACCATGATTAAATTTTGAACATGCTATTGACGAAATCCGAGAAAAACTTAAATAGCAACAAAAACAGTTACTCAAAGTTCTTCACAGCACGAACAATGAGACGTTGTGAACTTAATTATACACGACCTTCTCACATTATTTTACGTTATTTTCACCACGGCGCCAAATGGCCCGTCGTGTTCGATATTTCCCCTTATAACTGATACATGTGACAAAAACACTATCACCATTACAAATTATACAAACACAATTAAAACAAACAATTCACTTACTGGTATCCATTTTCTACAAATAAAAAAAGACAAAAGTAGATGGTTAATAATTTGACATAAACGACAGCTTTTAAATAAAAAAGGAATTCTACTCAACGTTTCCAACCATGAAAACTTCTTATATGAATGTTTTATGAATGTTTTATGCAGTGCGGTGTTTGAAATTAAAAATTAATTAAAAATTCTTATGTTGAACTTACTTTGCTTTGATTTATAACAGCAGAAAATGACAACGACTAGAATGGCGACAAGGAACAACATTCCAACGACAATACCAATGATAAGACCGATGTTTGATCCACTGTCCCCATCTTTGCCGACTGTAGAAAAGGAATTAGTTGAGCGACATTACAGAAATATTTGTGAGCTTTGATAAATTCTATCAAACAGTGTTATTAATAACTACTAGGTCAAACAAATATTTTGAAATAGCCAAAAGACAGACTAAAACAGTTGTTATAAGCAAAAAAGAAACACTAAAGTTTGTTAGATGCTTTCCAAAAATGACAGTTCCACTTGGAATTAACAACAGAAAACGTTAAAATTACCGTTATTAGTGGGAGCGGAACTAGTTGATGGCAAAATGGTCATCGATGAAGACATTGTCGGCAATGAACTGGAAGAACTTTGTTGGTCTAGCACAATGACAGAAATGGTTCGCATTAGAATTACATCATTAATGAAATTCTTTTATTCTGTTTTTTATAATATATTAAAACAGAAGAATCATCACGAAGAGTCATCGTGATGACTCTTAGGAAGAGTCATCACGTGCTAAAACACGTCAGCAAAAGGGGTCATCACGAGCTAATACGTGAACAACTTACAAGGAACAATGTTCGGATAGCGATTCTTGGATTGATTCAAATGACGAGCAGACGCTTCAGATACAAATGTCATACCGGGATCAATGGACTAAAAATAAATGATTACATCACGACAGAACAAACATAAAGTACACTTGTAACGTAATCATAGAAATCAAAAGTAATCTTAAATCATTGTGTGTAAATAGAAAGGGGAAAAAATATGAAAGTCAGTGAATTTCTCATAATTTCTCTTCGTTGTAACTAGCTACTTCAGACATCCAAAATGACTTCAAACATCCAAAATGAAAATCATTCCGTCGAATGCGGCCCTCCTTGGTCACAAGCAGTCCTCCACAATCGCATGCAGTCCTCTATGGTCACAAGCAGTCCCCCTCAGTCGCATGCAGTCCTCCTTGGTCACAAGCAGTCCCCTCAGTCGCATGCAGTCCTCCTTGGTCACAAGCAGTTCTCCTTGGTCACAAGCAGTCCTCCACAGTCGCATGCAGTCCTCTATGGTCACAAGCAGTCCTCTATGGTCACAAGCAGTCCTCTATGGTCACAAGCAGTCCTCCTTTGTCACAAGCAGTTCTCCTTGGTCACAAGCAGTCCCCTCAGTCGCATGCAGTCCTCCTTGGTCACAAGCAGTCCCCCTCAGTCGTATGCAGTCCACCTTGGTCATATATAATACAATTAACATGAAATAACATGAACCTCATATTCTCTGGTGAAGCGGTTGTCTGAACGTAATTCGTCTATAGTAGAGCGAAGATTGCAAACATCAACTGGAGGGTGTTCACGCATTCCTAAAAAACGAGAAAAATTCATGTTGAAAAATTTTATGGATGAAAAAGACCCCCATAAATTTTCATAAGTGTACCGTGCAATTATCTCAAATGCATTTCTAATATCCCTAGATGTTCATATATAATCGTAAAATACAACATAGTTCAAGTAGAGACGTGACCTTCACTTGCTAAATTTAATCGCTGTAATTCAACTGGATCTTTAGTTGTCATCATCATAGGTAATTCTTCATCATTCACTGTTTTTTTCAGAAATTTAAGTCCATTTCTACGTCGCTTTGTACGCCTAAACACAATAACAAAAAAAGAGAACTTCAGCGTTTGTATTTTGTACAAAATAACGTTTTTATTTAGCTGTTACACTGCACTCTTAAACAAGAAACATACCTTCGACACAAAAGACATGCAAGAACCAAAACAATCAGAACAATCAAGACGCCTAATATTGGACCAAGAAGCCAAATACTAAGACCATTATTATTGTTATCGCTCTCCAAAGCACTGACGACAACAGCTGAAAGATGTACCAATAAATAAGAATATTTTACAATAGCTGACTCATCATCAAAAAAAGTATATAATTTGGATTATAACAAAATATCATAAAAAATATCTCAAAAGAATAAATAATTTGGTAATCATCGTTTAAGACTCGTTTTAAACGATTAAAAAAACGACTATTGAAAACACGTCAAAAACACTTACGGATAAACTTTACTGGTTCCGTAAATTTTGTCGTCGTACCAAGACAAAGCTAAAATAAAAAAGTGTAAAATACAAATTTACTTGAAACACAGAATTTGTCAAATGTACTGTAATCATCACGAAACATTGGTTGTTAAAATGACATGCACACGTAAATGCCACACGAAATGGCATCGCGCGCGATGTTTGTATCGTTTACACAGACAATGTACACGAATGCATTCAACATCATACGACACGTTGGTCATCAGACAATACACGTGCATTGTCATACAGTGAGCAAGTATGTTTAAAAGCAACAGCTGATGATAACGATAGTTATTACAATGTACAGAATTTTAATTTTATCCGTAAAAATTACCCCTTTATCACTAAGTACGCAGGATTTGACAGAAAAAGCATAGTAATGACCATTTATTAATGGCTTGTTTATGTAACCATTCTCAATTTCTCCTCTGCCAACTTTAAACATCAAAGGCACCAGGCCAGCTTCGACTTTTGCCGTAACGTACACATTGCTATTATGCATGCTTTCATCCACAGTTCGTCTTGTTCGCGAGCTTTGAATTTCGTTAAGATTTTTCCTTGCTTCTGATAAAGTCTTACCAAGACTAGCCACATTGATCAAATAATGACTAAAAATGCAGTGATATTTATGCAGGAAATAGAACCATTTTGGTTAATTTAAATTGCCGAAGGATCTTATAGTAAAGCAGAGAAATCGTTCAAAAATAGTTGCAGATATGTGATTTATTTTCTAAACACCACATACATAAATAGATACCTATGTACATCTTGTAAAGAAACTTTGACAAAAGAACCGAAAAAGGCTCAGATTTGTCATTAACAACTATCAAAAGTTGTGATGCCGTTCATTGTCGTGCTGAAATGACAATAATCATTGCTTGCATTAAAAAGTTCCCGGAAAAATTCTCACATGCCATGGACGTAAGACATCATCAGCTTGCTATCAGCCATATATGAATACCTATTTGTATAAGATGGCAAGTCTTCGTGGTTTTTCAATGAACTTCTTTACTACCTCATCATGCAATGTGTTGGCGTCTTCTTTCTCTGACAGTATGTCTTTGTGAATGGAAATCCTGCAAAGAGAACTAAAACGTCCTTGGCTCATAGTATTTCTAAAATAATTTTTTACCCTCTTCAAACAAGAAAATGACCTCTCAACTGAAGCACTTGTAATTGAAAAAACCCCATTTATCTTTAACAGTTTTACAACTTCTGGAATACTAGATTGAAGATGGAACTGAAAATATATTTCAATAGTTCATCGCATGAATCACGGTGAAAGTCTTTATCTCTGTAAATAAAACAAAGTTGGCTAACTAGCATTGGTATGTCAAACATATCACCATAAACCTCCTTTAGAAGATTTATCTTTCTGAGGGCACTTCACCTTTCCACATCTTAAAACACCCTAGGGTTAGCAAGGTCAAAATGCTCCATATCCTGAAATCGCTCAGTCAGCATAGTCACAATTGTGTCAAGAATTTCAAAATACATTTGTTTGTAATTATGCCGTTGGTCATACCTGGTTACTGGTGGTCCCACTTTCTCAACAGCCAGGTCGCACACCTGACAATATTCTGTATCATTTCTCAGAGAAGCAACAAAGGCCTTGAATCTCTCAACCCTACTCACTCCATAATGAAAGTCAGTGTCCTTGTCTTGCAAGATAGAATAAAGTATGGATGACTGCTCAAGAATTCTATGGAAAACAAGTACCAAGAAACAAAACAAGAAGCCATTAAGGTAGCCAAGTAAACCAGTAACCTTACTTAACGTTTCATCATCCCAACCTATTGGATTATCAGTAAGATTTTCAAATATGTCTATCAGTTTCTCATAGTTAGAATGCAAGACATTGATGACATTAGCCCTATAATATCATCTTGTGTCACCAGGACTAGGAAACTCTAGCCTATGGGATGATAGTAAAGCTTTTCTTTGGGGAATTGCTAGTAAAGGTGCAGAAAGCACTAATATTAACAAAGAAAATATTTGCTGTCTTTCAATGCTGTCTTTCAATGACACTTTCCCTTTGTCCATTCGAACAACTACACTCAATTGTTCTTTGGTAGAATCATCAGTTGCCTCATCAACCTGTATACTTAAGAAAGTGCAGCAATCTATTTCCTTTAAAATCTCATCCTCTATTATCTTATCAAGACAATCAATCAAATCATTCTGAATATCAGGAGAGACTCCAGTAAACCGCCCTCTCCCAGCAAGGTGGGTTTCAGCAAGCCTTCCATGTAATCGCCTTTCAAAAACAGAATCCATCTTGGCAAAACTTTCAAGTAGCTCTCTATAATTTCCTCTATTCATGCTGCCACTAGATTCATCATGCCCCCTAAATGCAAGCTCTTGCCTAAACAAGTATAAAACAGCTTCTGTTATGGTTTTCAACTTTTCCTTGTTTTGCCTTACCTCCTGGTTATGACGCTGAATCTCTTCACGTCTGGCTTGTGACATGAGACAGTCGACATGAGGCTGAAAACCGTATGTCCTCCAGGTCTTGTAAGCACCCATGTGCGATTTTGCCTTCTCATGCTTCTTACAATCGGATAGGAAATATCGATTTCATTAGCCGAAGCCATTGTAATGTAAGTTATCACGATTTCCGAACGTATATTTCGAAAGCTCAAACTTCAAGTCACGCTTTTGAAAATGAGCACGACTAGATGTTGTTAAACGTTTGAGTGTGTTCACAGCTACTCTCAACCAATCAGATTACAGATATTCCCACTATAGATTTTACTACTTGGTCGGGCTGAATTTTCAGAGACCGACTAAACTGCTAGTCAGACTGTTAACGACAAAAATAACAGCTAACCCTTCACTTTGATGATACAAGTATGAAACTTTCTCACATTCTTACTATGCCTAGTAACACAAAATTTTGATATAGGGCCAGCCCATATTTTACATTTAAAACGAGTTCTGCGAATGTCGTGTTTGATGACGTCATCGGCATTAAAAAAAAAAGTTCAGAGAAATCTGCAATTTCCCTGTATATTCTTATACAACAGCTAAAGACGATAGAAAAACTATATTACAACTTTTTCTTTTGGGCAATACTTTCCCAAATATTGTGCATGCAATATTCTGAAAAGTGCTGAGTCAGCACTTTATTATATATATATATATAAAGTGTATAACAATGTGCCCTCCGGCTTTCACCATAGTGCAATGATAAATCGTATCGAAACAATGAAGAACATTCAATTAAGTTTCTTTAAGATTTATTATCTTACTTGTGTTAGCATTCAGAATAACCTAATTGATTCTCAACTTGTGCATAAAAATCGTACGCACTGACCAACCATAAAGTAATCTATTAGAGTTATCTATTAGAGTTTATTATTTACATGTTATTTATACTATCTGTTATTACATCGGTAATTACAATGACGTAAAGGAAAGTCGAGCTTTCCTTTACGTCAATAGCAGTACTCACTCTTTCATCGCGTTTCAAGTTCTCACGCGTTGCAACAAAAAATTTGCATGTTCAATTTAATCTAGAAGATTCTTTTGATCAAGATGTAAACACAATAAGGCATGCACATGTAGTGTCAATAACTGCTTCCCTCGTAGAATATTATGTAACTCATGGACTGGAAACTATGCATAATTTGTCAAAAAGACACTGCAGAACGTCTACAATGTCCATCAAATTCAAAAAGAAAGGATCAGGAGTTGGGTACTCCTCATTTGCGAAAAATCTGCAAGAATTTATTAAAATTGATATGTTACCGGTGAATTTAGACGTAAAGGGTCTCGATAGAGGTAATGGAATAGAAGAAACGCTGAAAGAACGCCAAGCATCATGGCATAAGTCATGTAGGGATCTTTTCAACAATACAAAGTTGGAACGTGCCCTGAAAAGAGGCTTAAGTGCGGGAGAAGACAGACGAAGAACAAACATCTGAAATCGAAAAAGGAAATCCAGTTAAAGCCAGAAGAGCAAGCTTCCCTGCAGTTTCAAGGAACGAGTGCATTTTCTGTGATAAACCAGACAACTCTTCAAACCTTCGTGCAGCTTCAACGCTTGAGATAGACGGCAAGGTTAGGGAATGTGCTGTTTTGCTAAATGACAGACAACTTATAGCAAAAGTATCGAATCGTGATATGGTAGCAATGGAGGCAAACTACCATCCAAAATGTCTTATTTCTCTCTATAATCGAGCAAGGGCAATGAAGGCTGAGACGTCAACAAACGCTGAACGTTCAGGACCAAGTCTTGATGGGCTAGCGTTTGCTGAACTTATTGCTTATATTGAAGAACGACTAGAATCAGATTGTTTAGTTTTGCTTAAGATGACGGAGCTGACAACATATTTTAAAATGAAGTTGAAGGCATTAGGAGTTGAAAGTGGATCAAGTAATACTACCAGACGTAAGGAAAGAATCTTGACTGTTTTTCCCAATCTTACTGATCAAAGTCAAGGAAGACACACTATACTTGTATTGAAAAATGAAATTGGAAACGCTCTTAAAAGGGCAAAGGAAGAAGATTCTGAAGCATGGCATTTAGCAAGAGCGGCTGTGATTATAAGAAGAGATATATTTCAAACAAAGAACTCATTCAACGGAGAATTCTCCGAAGATTGTCAAAAGGATTCTGTTCCAGCATCATTAAAAGTTGTTATAGATATGATACTTAAAGGGGCCATTGTAAACAAACAACCGGCAGAAAGAGATCCAAATCAAGCTTGCTTAACCATCTCTCAACTTATTGTCTTCAATTGCACATCACGCAAGCGTGAAGCGTCAAGACCTCATCACACTAGAGAAAAAGAATGTCCGGTACCAATATACACGTCCCTCAAAATTCATGGAACTACGAGAGACAAATCACTTATCGACGCTTTTTTCAAGTTGGGATTGTGCATCTCGTACGATCGGCTTTTATCTGTTTCTTCCGACATTGCTAATAAAGTAATAGCAAGGTACGAGAGTGATGACGTTGTTTGTCCGTCGAAGTTACGGAAAGGATTGTTCACAACTGCAGCAGTTGACAACGTAGATCATAATCCCAGCTCCACAAGTGCACAAGACTCTTTCCACGGTACAGCAATTTCGCTCGTGCAGCATCCAACAGTTCATGAAAATGGTGAGAGTAGAGAAGTAGACTTATTTGATTCGTCTATTTCTAGTTCCAAAAAAATTTCACAGCTTCCACCATCATTTTGTAATGTCCCACCAGTGACTCTAACATGTGGCGAACTTTATGCCCCTCCACTTCATACCGTTATGCTAACTGTGTCTACCACCGTCAAAAAAAAGGCAAGATCTGGAGGAAGACTGGCTTGAACATGTGCGACATCTCGTTCAAAAGGAAGACCTGAGTAAGGACGACACTTTTTCATGGGCAGCATATCGAGCGTCAAAAACTTCGTCAACCTCTTACGAACCGGCAATCATTGCACTTCTCCCAATGTTTCGGGAGAATGCTCATTCATTTGCGATGATATTACATTCAATGAATGTTGTTAAATCAGCTGTTCGTCATGTCAACTACTCTCAAACTCCAGTTATCGCCGTAGACCAGCCCCTATTTGCTTTAGCCAAGCAAATTCAATGGACTCTTGCAAACAGTCATGGAGAAGATAGATTTGTGGTAATGTTTGGTGGCTTACACATTGAGATGACGGCTTTTAAAGTTCTAGGAAAATGGCTTGATGGGAGTGGCTGGACCGAAATTTTGACTAACGCGTGTATAGCTAACCAAGGTGTTGTACAGTCATTCATCGCTTGCAGTCATGTGGAAAGAACAAGACGCGCACATCAAGTTACAGCAGCCAGTCTTTACTACCTACAACAAGATGCCTATAAGGAGTATCTCACGAAAGTTGACAATGGGGAAGCTAAAGAATTCCACATTTGGAAAGAAGATATGTCAAAGGATCATCCTCAGTTTCTGTATTGGACCAGAGTTTTGGAACTAGAATTACTCTGTTTACAACTAGTGCGATCGTTTAGAGAAGCTAATTTCTCCTTATACTTCCGGTCAATTAAGCAACTTGTCCCGTGGATGTTTGCTTTGGACAATGTTAAATATGCAAGATGGCTTTCTGTCCATATCCGTGATATGTCGGAGCTTCCATTCAAACACCCTGACGTCTTTAACCAGTTCTCCAAGGGCTCGTTTGTGGTGCATAAAACGAAGAAACAGTTTTCAGCTATAGCATTGGATCATGCTCACGAGCAAGTTAATGCAGTGGTAAA